GTGCTATGAAGTGGCAGCGAGATGGGCCAAATAATCAATTTCAGCCCAAAAGAATTGGTAGTGGCATGGCATGGCTAGTTCTTCAATATGCATGAAATATCCATGCTTGCTTGCTTGACCATAGTTGTTTTGTTTTTCTTGGCATGAAGATTAGTGTGGTTTTGGCAACTATTAGCTTGGTCTTATATATATATATATATATATATATATATTCATATGTAACGATGAGCAACTCAAGGATAACCAGTCAAGAGTCTTCGAAATCACAGCCAGGTCTTTTCCGGGAAGGTTGGAGGAGTCGCAATGGTCCCGCTAACCCAATCTTCTTAGACACCGAAGGTGTCGCCTTGAAGAACTTTCCTAGACACTGTAATATCGGAGTCTACTTACTGGGGTTACCAAAAGTTGGCTTATTTTGCGGCATGACATCGGAGACAAGGCTTGGTTGAATTTTAACCCAAAATAAGTTTAGCTTGCATGATTAATGTGCTTGAGTGTTTGGGTTTTGGCATTTATGTAAAGGCTTTTTCGTTCCAGCAGCTACAGATGGCCTGGGCTTTTGTAAAGAGCAAATGGGTGTAGTTGAATCAAGATATAGCTTGGTCTGGCATGAGGGCTTCAGTAGATTAGAAGATGAAAAATATAGAGGAAGATGCTTAAGATAGTGTTTGTGGTAGCTTGAAAGTGGTATAGGTGTTGGCAAATAAGCATTGCAATATGGAGGCCTTAAGTCACTTGGACTAGATCTTAGTTTTGGAGTCCACTGCGCTGCCTTCCAGTACTCAGATCTGGGGCCTCTTTCAAATTTGGTGGCATGATGGTTGTCTCTTCCGGCAGCATGATTATAGGGCTTGTGTTATCTTCCAGAAGCATTTCATACAGCGCATCATTATCTTCCATGTTTTGCTTGGCTTGAATCTTGGTTACTGGAAGCATATTTTGGTTGTTGTGTTGCATAGTGACTTTACTCTTTTTCTTGATAGCTTGACCTCACTTCAGAAAATTTGATTGCTTGGTAAAAGAAACTTCATCTTAACAACGTTTACGTTCTTCCGGTAGTAACATAGTACTACCTTCGTAGTATTTTCCTTCTATTTGCCATGAACGGAGATGTTTTCCTTCTTGAGTAAAGCATAGTACTTGGATTTCTTAAATAAGGCTTGAGGCTTGAGGATGCTTGATTATGGAATTGTGGCAATTGAGACATCCGAATGGTCTTTTGGTTTGACTCTTAAACAAGGTCATTGGAATTGTCAGGGCTTTAGAAAGTGCTTGAGGCACTGAAGCATATCACTTATGGCGACTTGGGTATTGTTTATTACAGTTGTTGTAAGCATATTTTAGGAACCAAAAGCTTGGGCTTGGCTATTGAAGCTTGAGATTTGCATGTGGTTACTGCAACAAATGTGTTGGGTTACAACAGCTTGAGTTTTTGCAAGTGGTGGAAAACTTGGAGGTCATAGTGACATAATTGGAATTTCTAGGAGATTTTGATGTTGGAATAGTGGCTTCGGTAATAATGGATTTTTAAGCTCATTTGGGGTTTTGGAATTTTTGCTGGTGGTGATTTGCAATGAATTCCTTCTTAGCCCCCAAGTGTACCATAATCATTATAACAAGATTTGATTGGCATGAGTTGCAAAAACTCTTGTAGCGTGGCCTTCTGAGTATTTGTTTTGGCCATTGCATGGCATGATGAACTTAGGATATCCATTTGTTGCAACGGAGACAATTTGGCAAGATAACATGGCTTCTTCTCTGTGCTTCTGGCAACTAGAAATGCAAAATTATCACTTTTATGATGACTGTGTTGCTTGAAAAGCTTGATCTTGTGATATCTGGTTTGGTTTGCTTGAAATGATTGCATCAAGTGAAATGCTTGAGTTGCATAGTTTTGGAGATGGATTGTTTCTCCTTGGCATGATTTCTCTTGAGACCACCTCCTACGGCACAATTTTATCATTGGCCTGGCTTGGCGTCATTAAGCATGTTGAGATGTTGATGAGTACAGGAACATAAAGTCCCATGCTCCTTAAGGCTTAAGGCGTAGAGGAATGTACTCATCATCTTGGGAAGAATAGAGTGCTTAATAGATATATAATTTCTGCATGACCAAAGCAAATGGTGGTTAAAATAATACATGTGTTGCAGCTCGCAAATGAATATAATTAATATTTGTAGATTTTAAATGGCTGTCATCCAACATCATTAAAGAACGAATGAATCCCTTATCAATATTAAAACCAACATAGGTAGCTTTCAGTAATATGCAAGCATGTGATGCCTTGGCAATAATTAAAACATGTGATGATACTCTTGCTTTTGGTAGTGTGTAAATGCCTAGTGCTTGTATTCCTTTCAAAGTGAAAGACAATAAATAAAGGAAGCTGAATAGTCCAACTTCACTCTGTTGGTATTGGCCTCAAACATGATTTATATATATATATATATAAGAAAGAAAATTTATCAGTGCATGTTTATATTTGAATAGATGACATGCTCGTGCTACTTTTACAAGTATGACATATGGCATGATAATATATATTTTATTGTGAAATCTAAAAAGGTAAGAAAGAAAAAAAAGATTTTCTTATCTTTGGCCTCCAATAGAGAGCATGTGGATTGTGGAACCAACAATGGCATAGAAATTCAGGGCATCCTGTGGGCAGTGCCAAAGATGGAGGTGAGGCAAGCAACGTTCTGGAGAGGTTGTTCAATTTTGAGTTGAAGCACATGCGTAGTTTTGTGCAAAATGTGGCTATATTGTTCTAGAGTTAGCCAAGTCTCCTCTATTGGTCAGAGAAGATGGCCTCTCCGTATCAGATGCTTGGCTTGTGTTTGGCTTCTTCTTTATTTTGAAAAAACTTGTTTGGCACGAAGCCCGCAAGTATTTTGGGGTTTGCATGCGTAGTTTGCTCAAAGCCATGAATGATGGATTTGCCAAAGCCTCCAGAGCCCTCTAACTCTTGTGCTTTAGTCTCTTCCAACACATGATTCTCATCAAAGCTTAACTAGCATGAATCCCTACACAATCTTCCAGCATCAGGGCAGCACGAATTTGATTTCATATACTCAGAAAAGAAAAAGAATCACCAATTTATGTAGGGGCTTCTTTTTATTTATTCGTATGGGTGTGTCTCCAAATGGGCAAATGATGATGGCAGAAGACTTTCTTGATTCCCAATTGTAGACATGTGAATAAGCTGAGCATAGTGCAATATCGGAGAGAAGAGGTTTATTCCTGGAGATCTGTACACTAGAGAGGCCTAATTCAATTTCGGCTCGAAAAGTA